TCAATGTAGAAAGAATGAATCCCTCGAAGATTCCGGGGTCATGACCCCCTTAGCAGGTGAGGACCTTGTTCCCAGCCCACCAGGAACCACAGACCCCTTGGTCTCACCAATGGCAGTCTGTCTTTCTGTCTACTCAGGGCCTGGAGTTCTTCGCCTCCTGGCCTCCTGGGAAATGACGTCCCAGGCTCACGACCTCTCTTCCAGTACTTTCCCTTCCTTCTTATTCATGTTCTAAAAAATCTTTAATTTGCCCAACCATGTGCCAGACAAGGCAGGGTAGCAAGGCTACAGGTCCTGAGCAAGTAGGTTGCCCCCGTGTTTTTCCGTTTCGTAAAGAAACACAAGGCTCCAGGCCCACAGGGACTTGTGGCTCTGGGTGGCCTTAAGAAAACCCAGGCAGGCCAGGAGCTGTCTCCACCTGACATCACAGAGCCCGAGGGGCAGGGCCATGGAAACTGCTTTCCCTTTCATCCTCTTTGCTCCCAGTTCCTGTTGTTCCCTACGGGGCACAGGTACCACTGTGGCAGGTGGGCAGGGCCAGATGCAAGGCCCTGGAGTTGCTCCTGCCACTCAGCATGCTGCTGAGGGTCCGAGGCCAGGGTAGGATGAGGGTGGGGCAACCTCTGGCTTTCAGGGAGATTTGGACCTAACTTGTAAGGACCACTGGGCCTAAGTCCTGGTGTTCAGGAAGATTTTTTAGGCTAGATTCTTAACGTTATCTCCACAAGATATCACAAGGGTGGTCACAGCCACCTCCTGATGGGGTTGAGGGAGGAACGCAACCATGACGCCACTTCAGACTCATGTCCCACGAACCTCGGTGGATGCACATCAGAAATTATTTTCCATAAATCCTGATTCTGTCCCATGTCTAGCATAACTACATTGCTATGATTGCATTCCTGTTTGTGTGTACCTGTTTTTTAAGTCCACATCTGTTTGATGCAAATGTTTAAAACCTATTGTACAATAATTTTTATATGCTTGCTTTGGAAGTTTTTCATTTTTGATATTCTAGGAGTCTTGGGAGATGGCAGTGACTGGGCATTTCTCCCTCCTGTACACCCTGAGGAAAACCTACAGAGAGGCAGGGTGAAGCCTGCTCGCGCTCTCTCTCTCTCTCTCTCTCTCTCTCTCTCTCTCTCTGGGCCTGGGAGCCAGGAGTCCAGGCCTTTCTGGAAGGCTCCCTCTTCCTGGTGTGGCCTCCCTGCACTTCTGGCCTAGGCCTTGGCATCCTCCCTGGGCCAGAAACCTGGGTGCGGGTGGGGCTGCTTCCTGGGAGAAGGCCAGAGTGGGCCTCTGGGGCTTCCGGCCGAGGAGCGGGTTGTTTTCCGGAGTCTGGCAGCGCTTCCGGTACTTAACTGGATTTCAGGCCCGCCACTAGCTTGAGTCATGGGAAGCTGAGCCAGAACGGGCAAGGGCAGGCCTCAAAGGGATCGGGGCATCTTTTAAAGTGCAAGGTAAAGGCAGGGGCCTCGCTGCCTTTGGTGGGACCTTGCCCATGGGCCCGCCTTCTGCATCCAGCTCTTAGGGTCTGAACTGGGGGTGATAAGGTGAGCTTCCAGAATCCTGGGGCTCAGCACACAGATGTGGGCGGGGGCGTCCTACAGGACCTTGAACCAGGCTACTGTGGCTCCAGGGAGCTACTTCAGCTCCCCAGAAGGGCCGGCTTTGCACGTGCTACACCTGAGGCCTGGACTCCACCCCTCTGGCTGGCCCAGTTTTTTTCCTCTTTCCAGTCTCAGCGCAGACATCCCCTCCTCCAGGTAGTAACACAGAGCACAACCAACCATCTGGTTAATGTACTCAGAGGCCCTTCTCGATCAAATGTTAAGATTCTAAGAGAAATCCAGTTCTCAATTTTGAACTACATATGAATTTGGCAAACTGGTTTCCTCCCACAAAAATGAGAGCAAAAAGAGAAGAAATCTGAAATGTAACTCTGAAGCTGCAGGAAGATCAGAGCAAAGAGAAAAAGAAGCATAGGGACACTTACTCAACAGAAACATCTTTAGACGAAGGTACAGAACAATATGTCAGCAGGATCTCAGAGTGACCATTTCTGATGTCTGTCAGGATTGCATTCAGAAACTGAGGGATTTTCTACTTTGGGTATAGACGGTAAAGAACTGAAACGCCCCCCTATTTAGACTGATTTGGAAATGTTAGTGTTTGTATAAAAGTCATATCAATTGGGCTTCCCTGGTGGCGCAGTGGTTGAGCGTCCGCCTGCCGATGCAGGGGACACGGTTCGTGCCCCGGTCCGGGAAGATCCCACATGCCGTGGAGCGACTGGGCCCATGAGCCATGGCCACTGAGCCTGCGAGTCCGGAGCCTGTGCTCTGCAACGGGAGGGGCCACAACAGTGAGAGGCCCCGTACCGCAAAAAAAAAAAAAAAAAAGTCATATCAATTAAAGCAACCGTACTCCAATAAAAATTTTAAAAATAAATAAGTCATATCATTAATTTCCAATGGAGTATGTATTAAGTAAATGTCTAAATATGTTAATGAGGCCAATTTTTCCAGCAATATTATTTTCCACTTCTTAGGAAGCTTTTGTTATGCATGTTCTGTCAATATACTTAAAACTGCAGCTTCTAAACACAAAATAAAAAGAAAATATTTACAAGACAAACAAATTTTTTGATTGCCAAATTCTCCTACATGGACTTTGTCTCATTTAATCCCCCTACAAGTCCTATAAGGCGGGTATTATAACTCCTGTTTTACAGATGAGGAAACTGAGGCCCAGAGAGGCTAAACCAGGCCCAGGGACTTGCATCCAGTCCTGGCAGGGGGCAAGAAGTGGGAGGGGACTCAAAGCCTCTCTCTGGCTCTACCCCACAAGAGGGGACTGACCCAGAGGACAACGCAGACTTGACGGAGGCAGCCCTGAGTGGGACAGTAGGGAGGCCCAGGAGGGACGTGCCGGCCCAGCCTCAGTCTCTCATGGTGCCCTGACCCCAGGCAGCTGGGCTCCAGCACTCATGCCCTGGACCACGAGGGCAGCATGGTAATCCCCTGCTGACGTGGGTCTCTCCCTGAGAGGATGAGTTCCAGAGGGCAGCGCCTGTCCTGTTTGCCGCTGTGGCCCCAGCATCAGCAGAGGGCAAGCAAGCATTGGTTCAATGAACAGCCGACCTCTACGCCTCAGTCTTCCTGTCTGGCTGCCGTGAGGTAATGCGGTGAGGTCGGTAAGACAGTATATTCCATGTGCTTGGCACACAGTAGGTCCTCAGGAGGAAATGGGGATTGATGATTATCAGTGATCAGTCCTCTGCCTCAAGAGGGGTCTGACCTAGCCCCCCTTTTTCTCACTGCCCCTCCAAGCTGCTATTGGAGAAACCATCCCCTGGGGGTCCCCCAGCCCAGAGTGAGCCCAGAGGGCCCCACCGCAGACTTCCTTGCCTCCCCGTGAGCACAGCCCTCCAGACTTCTGGAATTGGGATCCAACGAGAGAGAAGGGACATGAGCCACAAGGCCAGTGGGTCAAAGTCCAGGGCAGTGGCTGCAAGCCAGGAACACCCCCCCCCCCACCGCCGCCCCCGAGGGAGGTGGGGGCAGGGTAGGACTGCAGCTGAGGCAGGAGGAGAGGAGGGGGCTGTGTGGCTCACTTCCTCTGACTGGGGCCCCCGGGACCCCCCCTGATGGCATGAGGAGCGCCCACTGGGTTGGGTGATGTGTTTTCTGAGTGTGACACCCGTCGGCCAACAGAGGACAGCAAATACATTTTTTATGATCCTGGGAGGCTCATTCCAGTCACGTTTACTTGAAAAGAGGCTGGGCAGTCGAAGGGGACAAGTCATGTCTCAGTTATGTGGATCCTCTTTGGGCAAGAGGGGACACTTGTGGGATGATGTGGGGTTCTGGGAAAGGGATGCGGGGTTGGGGGGCAGATTTCAGGAAGGGGGCGGGCTGTAGGGGGTTCTCCCTTACTGTTGGAACCTCATGTACTTTATGGAGGGGGAGGAGCTTATGGGAGGAACGGGTGTCAGCACAAGAGGCCAGATCTTTGCCAGGTGGAGAGGGTACCCTCATGCCCCAGCCCCCAATTTCCAGCCTATCTCCCAGAGCCTGGGACCATGAAAGCAGCAACAGAGGGACTTTGGAATGGGGAAGGGGAAGCACAACTTTATGTTTTGGCCTTAAGGTGGGTTGGTATTTTGGGGAGTTCTTGGGAACAGAGCATGTCCATCCAATTTCAGACCCGGGGCTTCTGAGGGACTCCAGTCATCCCAGAGGAGGTTAGGGGCCGCCAAGGGGTGAGCGGCCAGGTGTGGAAGCCAGACTTGGTGCAGCTCCAACTTCTACTGTTTGTTCATAGCGGGTAGAGAGGAGTGAGAAAAATCGGAGGAAGGGCTAAAAGCGCCGGCTGGCACTGTCACTGAGTGTTCCGAAAGTGGGGGGGGCGGATCTGGGGGCGAGTCGGAATCTTAAGTAGATGCGTCCCCATTCAGACACCCCCGGCTGAGGGATCCCTGGAGCGCATGTGGAGGAATCCTGTCCGCCCCCCAGGAGGGAGGCCCAGCCTAGGCTCCCTCATCCGGGCCACCGGGGTATTGGAAGTGGGGAATCTCCCCTCTTCCCCGTCCCCGCCCCACCCCCCCGAGTTTGGAGAACCCCAGGCTCTGCCCCCATAGGTCGAGGCTGACGTCGCCGCCGCATTTCTAGGAATGCCCCTATCCGCTGACTATATTTGGCGAGGGTTTCTAGGAAGCCCCCCCGCCCCCGCCCCGCCCGGCCCCGCCCGGCCCCGCCGCAGCCCCCGCCCCGGGCAGGCGGTCGCGCTTGTCTTCCAGGCTCTCACCCTCTCTCCCCGGCCGGGGAGGAGCCGCCCCGCCGCTTGGGCCGCCGCTGCCGCCTCCCCAGCGCGGCCAACCCCGGGCCGGCCCAGCCCCCGCCCCGGGCCGGCCATAGGGCGTGGGGGGGTGGGGAGCGGGGGAGGGTGGGGGCCGGGCCGGTGGGGGGGGGGGGCGGGGGCGCGGCTTTGTGGCGGCAGCGGACCTTGGAGGCCGGGTGCAGCCCCGTCGGCTCCGCGCTCTCGGCAGAAAAGGCTTTTATACGCCCCCTGCCCATCACTTGGATCTGATCTGAGTAAGGGGGGGATTTTTTTCTGGAAGTACCCCCCCACCCACGGTGAAGGATTTGAGGCTGGACTCCAATCGAGGAGGAGGCTGGGCGCCCCCCACCCCGCGCACGCCTCCCGAGAGCCCTGGAAGGCGCAGCCCCGGGGGGCCCCCTGCACCCCCAGAGGAGGCAGCGGCGGTGAGTCTCCCCCTTTTTCCTGCAAGGCACCCCTCCCCCGGGCCAGGGGGCCGCGGCAGGTGGGTGCCCAGGCCCCCGGGACAGAAGGGGGTGCGGGGTGGCTGCCTGGGGGGTGGGTGGCGACACGAGCCGGGAGGGAGGTGGCGGCGGGGGGGAAACGCGCGGCTCTCCCGGGACCCGGCGCTAGACGCTTGCCTGGGAGGGAAGCCGCCGCCGCTGCCGACCCCGAGGCAGCGGGATTGGGCTCCCTCCCCCCCTCCCCCCTCCCTGGCTCCCGAGAGGGGCGTGTTAGGCGTGGAGGTGGGATGGGGGCGAGGCAGCCCCCCACCTCCCTAATGCCGGGGCTTGGAAATTAACGAGGCGGGTTGAAAGCCTACCACCCCGCCCCCACCCCGGAAAGCCGGTTCGGGAAACTGACTCGCTGCGTGACCCCGATATCAGTGCCGCGCGGAGAGCAGGCCGCCCTGCTAGCGCGTCCGCGCCCGCCGCACCTCGTCGTCACTCCACGTGCGCCTGGGCCGCGCTGGCACGGGCAGGGGGGCCAGCGCCAGCCTCCGGGGGCTGGGCCCTGGGGACGTCCGGAAAAGCCGGGAGCACAGTCCCCAGAGAGTTACCACCTCCCCGAAGTAAAGTTGGCTGCCCCCTCCCTCCGAGGAGTAGGCGGCCATAGCACGTTGGCTGTAGCTTTCGCTGGACAGGAGTTAATAAAAATTAAAAAAAAATCTAGGTTCCGGGGTGCGGATCGGGGTGTCAGGGCCCGAGACCACACCAAGTTGCTCTGGCAAAAGTTAGGAGAAAAAAAGGAAAAGGCATTTTTGATTTGGGGCTGGGGGTGTGTGGCGTTTCTGGTTTCTCCTGCTTCCAAGCCCCACCGTGGGGAGCGTTGGAATGTGCCGCTCAGATCCTCTGAGGACACATCCATATTTATAATTTATTTTTAGGAGAAGTTGTGAAAAAGGGAGGGGGTTTAAAATGGGGAGAAAAGGTGTGTGTATCGGGGTGGCCTTTCCAGAACCCAGAGGCTAATTGAGCTATTAAGATGGAAATCACTTCCTCCAGTCTGGGCAAGCTGCAAATTTGACTTTAATAAGACAATTAAGGGCACAAATAACTAAACTTTAGCTGGATTTGGGAAGGGGTGGGGGTGGGGCACTGCAGGAGGCCCCTCAGGCACTCCTTTTGCGCTCCCCTAAGGGCCATTTTGGACGCTCAGCGTCTTCCCTGCAGCGTCTTCCCTGCCCCAGCTATGGGTCTGGGGGCAAGGGAGGGAAAAGATACCCCCATGGGGCAGGCAAATACGCCCTCCGTCCCCACCATGCAACTCTGGCTTTTGGATGAGATGAACTGTCATCCCATCGTTTCTGCAGGAAAACCCAGTAATGATTCCTTTAATTATCCAGGATTCTCCAAAATCCTGCCTCAAAGGCAGCCTGCCCCAGTGCTGTGAGCTGAGAAGGGGGACACCCTTCTGGAGGAAGGAGGTTTTGGAGGCTGTGGTCCCAGAATCGGGGTTTTGAGGGCGAGATGAGTTTATGTTTTATCCAACTGGCCCACAAAGTCCCGCTTTTGGGGTCATTATAAACGGCGAGGGATTCAGGCCCCAGCAGTCCCTGGAGGAAGGGGGCAGAGAGCTAGCTGCACTCCGAAGGTCGGTCAGAGGAAAGCAGGGAGGTTTGCTTCTTTTGGTAAAACTGAAAAGCCGTCTGGGGGATATTCTTATATATGTGTGTGTATGTGTTCTTAGTCTGTTGAACCTGCTGTTTTCAAGGGCCTTTCTTTGGGAGGCCAAGAAGGTATGAGAAGGCAAAAGTACTTCCCCCCACCCCGCCCCCCAGTGGTTTAATGAGATGTTTTAAACAGGATTTTAAGGGAATGAGTGACACATGGGTTGTGTCAAACCATTTGACACCCTCAAAAATCAAACATCACTGACATCGTGAATTGCAGTTACATTAGATTTGCTTGCTTGCTCCCACGTGGAATTGCAGTATTTCTCTGCAATTCTTTGCTACGCTGATCTTAGTCATTTTATAAGAAACGCTGGATAATCTGTTGTCAGGGAATTCTCTAAGGCAAGGGTGGCGGAGGTACAAATGCCCTTCCCATTAACCTTATTAAGTTCAGTTAATTTACACACACACACACACACACACACACACACACACACACACACACACACACACACACACACACACACACACAC